GTAAGAACACCTCTTTGTTCTTACTGTGGAAAATTACAGCAAGATGGAGCCTGGAGTCACATGGGCCAGTTCCTGCATACTTTGCTGAGTCTGAAGGCATATTTGCCTTCTCTCAATGGGTCCATTGTATAGCTGATGGTCCTTAATGGGCCATCAAGCAGGCTGGGCAGAGCTAACACCAGCTTGTCTGGGATGTCACCCAGAAGCATAGCATAAATTTGCCATACAGACAGTATAGAGCCAATATTCATAACTTCAACTACAAAACTGATACACACATATAGACAGCCTAATCATAACCAGTAAACCATAACCTTGTCTTAGACACCCCATTTGACCCCCTTTGTACAAGATTTGGGTGCCACTACAGGACCTTGGTTGCAACAATGATCTATATGGTCCCAGTTTATGTCAATAACGTCACAGGTGGTGCCAGCCACCCAGAGGCAGAGGCTGCCAATGCCAGGCTAAGTGCCAACCTGCAGTCAGGCAGCTCAGGTTCCCCCGGGCCCGGAGCGCTGGGCACATGCCAGGGTTGGTCCCTCAGCCCGTCCCAGGCTCCCTCTCCTCCCCGCCATTCTCGTTCCAGCAAAGCAACGGCTTCCACTTCTGCGGCGGCTCCCTGATCAACCAGAACTGGGTGGTGACAGCTGCCCACTGCCAAGTCAGGTAAGGAGATGGTGCCGCAGGCCAGGCCGGTCACTGGAGCCGCTCTGCATTGGCTAGTGCCGCGGCTCCGCCTGGGCACAGGGATAGCCCCAGTGAGCGACACCCCCGCCCCGCAGCTGCCCCACATCCAGCCCCAGCTCGGCAGTGGGGCACCGTGGGCTGAGCAGAGCAGGCCTGGGGCACAGGGGAGCTGGGCGCAGGGGTAAGATCGTGGCTCTGCTCCCCAGGTGAGCAGAGGGTTCGAGATCCTGGGCATTGCCTAGGGCCTGGGGGGCGGGGAGGGAGGGAGGTGGGCCGCTACCCAGTGCTGAGGTTCTTCTCCTGGGAAGAATGGAGCCAAAGAGCCGACCTGCCCCTTGCCCTGGGGCTGCCCCAGCCCCAGCCCTTCCTGCCAGTTCCCTGCTGCCAACCCAGGGCCTGAGACCCGGATGCTGCTGCTCCACCCGCCATTAACAAACACCCCTGCTAAGGAGGGGCTGTGAGGGGCCCCCCTGCCCCACCACGGCTGAGCCTCCCTGGAGCCGTCTCCCCTGGCTGGAGCCTGGCCCCTCTGGGGCTCAGAGGAGGAGACACTTGTGCCACAGGGCAGCTCCCCTGGGCTGCAGCAGGGCAGGCAGAGGTGGCCCACTGGAGGGCACAGGGGCTCCTAGGGTGAATCCCTGGGTGCCCAGCCCCACTGGCTCTCTCCCTTGCAGAGCCGGGACTCACTTTGCCATCCTTGGGGAGTACGACAGGAGCTCCGGATCTGAGCCAGTCCAGGTCAAGTCCATTGCCAAGGTGAGTCCTCCCCGAATGCCATCCAGGGCGCTGCAGAGAGGGGGGCAAGATGCTGGGCAGTCCCACAGAGCCCAGGGGTGGGGGGCAGGCACCCTAGCTCTGTGCCTGGGGCTGTGCCCTGGTGGGGGAAGAGAAGGGGCTGGCAGAGGCAAACCCCCTTTTCAGCACCCCTTGGCAGTGGCACGGCCGGGCATGGGGGCCCATTCTCCACACAGCAGGGATGGGTGCAGGGACAAGCCCTAGGCTGGGACTTGCCCAGCTCTGCCCGGGGCTCCCTGGGCCAGGCTTCCTGCGCCTCCTGGAGATGGGCACATTCCCATGGCGATGGGAGCCATGGAGGCCCTGGCCTGGAGCGAGCCCTTGGGGAGTGTGGCCCAGTCCCTTGTGCTCCCCCAGGCCAGCGCCGCGGGAGCCCCGGGAGCGGGCAGTTAGTGAGGCGAGGCCCCGTGTCCAGCTCAGCACTGTCCCTCGGGGCAGCACCAGGGCAGGCAGGATCCAGCGAGCGAGTGGGGCGGGACGGCATCGCACCTAGGGGAGCAGCGAGGGCAAGGCCGCGCTCCCCTGGGGTGACACCAGCCTCCCCCCGGTGCTAAGGGCTGCTTGTCCCGCCCCCATGCAGGCGATCACCCACCCCTACTGGAACGCCAACACCATGAACAACGACATTACCCTGCTGAAGCTCGCCTCCCCCGCCCAGCTGGGTGCCCGCGTGTCCCCCGTCTGCCTGGCTACAGCCAGCGAGTCGCTCGCAGCCAACCCCACCTGCATCACCACCGGCTGGGGGCGGACCAGCGGCACCGGTACGTACCCACAGTCCGATGCCAGCTCCGGGGGGGGGGGCAGCCTGGACCTCGCCCACCCGTATTGGCTCCATGCGGCGCCCAGCGCTGGGGCACCAGGCCACTGCATAGCAGTGCAACCAGCGGGCAGCTCGCAGGTACTTCTCTGGGTGTCTGGCTGTCTCCACCCTTGGCTCTGATTGGGGGTTTCTTTCCCAGCGAGCGGTGGGGCCGTCCAGCTGCAGCAGGTGGCCCTGCCCCTGGTCACGGTGAGCCAGTGCCAGCAATACTGGGGCAGTCGCATCACCAGCTCCATGATCTGTGCTGGGGGGGCCGGCGCCTCCTCCTGCCAGGTAACGATCTGTAACGTCACCCACCCAACGGGTGTTGGGCACAGGGCAGGGTGGGCGGGGGAGGGGAAGGGACACAGCAGGGTGTGCAGGCGAGGGACATAAGGCAGGGGCACAGGGCAGGGCGGGTAGAGATGGGGAGGGGCACTGGGTGGATGGGCAGAGGGCGGGGCACAGGGCAGGAGGGGAAGGGGAAGGGGCACAGGGCAGGGTGGGTAGAGGAGGTGGGAGGGGCACAGGGCAGGGTGGATGGGCAGGGGTAGGGGCACAGGGCAGGAGGGGGAGGGGAAGGGGCACAGG